TTGGCATACAGAACTGCCATTACCCACTTTCTCTAATAACCCGGGCAACGCCGGGTCCCCAAGCTAGTAATACAATATAATAATACAATTATATATTTTATATTACATATAATATTACTAATATTACAATATAATGGTCTAGTACAATATAATATATTTTCTGTACATATAATATTGATTATAATGTTGTGATACAATGGAATACAAATAATACAATATAATAATACATTTTACATTACATGTAATATTACTAATAATATTACAATATAATGGTCTAGTACAATATAATATATTGTCTGGACATATAATATTGATCGTAATTTTGTGATACAATAGAATACGAATAATAATACAACAATATAATAATAATATTGTCTGTACATATAATAATAATACAATTAGATATTTTATATTACATATAACATTACTAATATTACAATATAATGTATTGTCTGTACATATAATATTGATCATAATTTTGTGATACAATAGAATATGAATAATACAATAATAACATAATAATTATATATTTTATATTACATGCAATATTATTAGTAATATCACAATATAATGGTATAGTACAATATATTGTATGTACATACAATATCGATCACAATATTGTGATATAATACAATATGAATAATAATACAATATAATAATTATATATTTATGGAAGGAAGTTATTGAAAGTAGGTATATGTATTTGAACTGTTTAACTATTTGTTTGGTAACAATAGCTGAAAGCTAGAAATAACTGGTTGTATCCATTGTGGCGTTGCCAAGGAGACCAGGCAGAGGAGAGTGGAAAGTGGGCGGAGCCTCGCAAGAGAAATCCATCTGCGTTTTAAAAAAGAAGCAGTTAGTTAGGGTTTGGAGTTCAGAGTGAGCAGTCAAGAGAGAAGAGGGGAAGTAGAGAAGCAGTGTTGGTAGACCTGCCGAGAGAAAAATGGCTTACCTATGCCCAACTTCTGAAAAAAGACCCTCTTGGAACCAAATGAAAATCCCAGGAAGAACTTAAACAACTTGACGAATCTATCTCCTGGTTCCAATACCAGCAAATACTAGAAAATTACAGAATTGACGTCAAAAGTGGATTCCAGATTCAAGAAACCTTCTGGGATAAAATACTTAAAACTGAGACCAAGCTAATTAAAAGAATTTATCAGCAACTCTTAATATGGGCAACAGAAACAGATCAGGTCAAACATAATATGATCCAATGGTCTAGAGATATAGGTAGACCAATAAATATGACAGAGTGGGAGGAGGTCTGGCGCCAAAAAATCAAATATACATACTCAACTGAGATGAAAGAAAACTGGTATAAGCAATTCTATAGATGGTACTACACACCAGACAAGATATCCAAATTCAGCAAGGGGAAAATTAAAAATACATGCTGGAAATGTGAGAGACATAAAGGAAGTTATATCCACGTATGGTGGAAATGCAGGAGAATAAAAAACTTCTGGCAAAAAGTGAACAAAATTATACAGATAATACTAGGAGAGAAAATAAAACTTAAACCAGAAGCAATGTTATTGGGAATTACAGACCCACTCCAAAATAAAAACTCCGATAAACTATTCTTCTACTTTACTACGGCAGCCAGAACAGTTATAGCTAAGTTTTGGAAATCTAAAGAAATCCCCTTGGTAGACCATTGGTTGTTAAAAGTATGGGATATTATGAATATGGATATCCTAACCCATAAAATATCTCAAAGTATACCTAAACCACCAAAAACCAACTGGAAAAGTTTTATAGAATATATTAACAGATCAAACAACGAAATTAATATCAGTATAGAATAGTCAAAGTTCTCAGGGGAATGATATTAGCCATCCGATGTATGATAACCAAATAGAATAGGAGGGCAAATTACGGCCCACTACAATGGCTATTGTCCAGAATATCCTTGGATATTCACTAGGGTTATTCAAGGTGGTGGGTATAATTATAGTTTGGTCTCACAACTCCCTCCCCTCCTCAGGTAACCCAACCCCAAGGTTCGAGAAACCTCAATGTTCTAACTATTTGGAGTTAATATATTCAAATCTACTCCGAATCCTTTTCCTTTACCCCCCCCCCCCCCCCCCCCGCTATGCCCCCACAATATCCTCTACCACCGCTAACGGAGGAGCGAAGGGAGGGAGAAACTAAATGAAAAAAGAAACAGGAAGAAATTAAACAAACCAGATATTAAGTAAAATCATTTAAGGGGGGAGGATCAGAGGGAGATATTAAGGAACACGAACAAATATATATATCCGTGCCAATTTGATATCTTGTACGAAAATAATGTCATGTTTGGTATTACCGTGTTTGTCTTGTTTGTCATGTGCACCTGTACTGTATTGTATGTCAGTGTTTTGACGTGGGCACTTGTACTGTGTGTCAACTGTTACCGTTATATGTTCTTTAATGTTACAAAATCAATAAAATCATTTATATAAAAAAAAGAAGCAGTGTTGGTGAATAGTCTGAGGTTTCTTCAATCTAGGAAGGTTGAAGGGGGGAACCTGATTAGTTTCATTAGTCAGAGAAGACTAAGTGAAGCTTGTTTAGATCATTAGTTAGGAAAGAACTAGAGATCTAGGGTTTGATCAAGAAAAGATCAAACAGGAAGGCTATTCACCTCAGGAAACATTGTTTAAGAAAGTGCTTCACCACAGTAAAAGTCAATTACAAGTTGTATCATCCAGAAGTGTGAACTGTATTGCAAACCGTGTTACATTTAAAGTTCTACAAGTTCTCTAAGTTATTCCAAGTAAACCAACAGCCTGCAACCATACGCTTTGTTCAAAATAAACTTATTAACTTTTGTTTGAAGACTGCCTCATCTCCATCAATTCTGCGTCCAGTGTGCCATTTCTCACAATATTACAACTTACCTCACATGGTGGCAGAAACGCAGGGAAAAGTAACCAAATGAAACTACATTCTTCTCTCCAGTCACGCTACAGTATATACAGTGTAATTACTACTAAGTTATTACTTTCTTAATAAAGGAGGAGGTGCAATTGAACAGCCTCCCTTCCAACTTGAAGGTAAATTTGGTTCCTAATCGACAACCTCCATTGCAAATCGGCCAGTTCTTTTTAGAATTGGGAACTGGGGTGAAATCTCCTGAATACTGGATCCTTTCAAATTGGAGGCAACAATAAATTATCCCTCAGCTCCCTTGCTTCTTCGCAAATTGGTGGCAGACGACGGGATACGATTAACAACTGATCAAGTGCCTTAAGACTACTTTGAGAATAATTTGTGAGGTAAAAGTTATTGAAATACGGCTACCAGACGACAGAAGAAGATTACCTCAGAAGCAGCCAATATGGCGGATACCAAAGCTGAAGGGACAGCTGTAGTGACAGTTAGAGAGTCACAGCCAAAAGTAGAAAAGGAAGAAGTTATGGAAACAGCTGAGGTAGAACAAAAGGAGGCTAAGAAAGAAAGCATGGCTGAATTCAAGAGTGAATATGAGAAGTTGACTATGGCAATACAAAAGTGGGATCAAGGCCATGTACATGAAACATACATAAACATTGAAACTAGGTATATGTATTTGTATATGTATAGGTATAGGTATTAGTCTTCTCTGACTAATGAAACTAATCAGGTTCCCCCCTTCAACCTTCCTAGATTGAAGAAACCTCAGACTATGTCTCGGTGGTGACCAGGGGAACATTTGCACAGCTCAGGCTCGTGCGCCAGCTGCGCCCGTATCTTGGGAAGTCTGACTTGGCCACGGTGGTACACGCTCTTGTCACATCCCGCCTAGACTACTGCAACGCTCTCTACGTGGGGCTGCCCCTGAAGACGGCCCGGAAGCTGCAACTAGTCCAACGCGCGGCAGCCATGATTCTAACAGGAGCGGAGCGCAGGGAGCACACAACCCCCCTGTTGCACCAGCTCCACTGGCTGCCGATTTGCTACCGGGCCCAATTCAAGGTGTTGGTACTGGCCTATAAAGCCCTAAACGGTTCCGGCCCAAGATACCTAGCTGACCGCATCTCGGCCTATGAACCCACCCGGACTTTGAGATCTTCCGGGGAGGCCCTGCTCTCGATCCCGCCAGCCTCTCAAGCACGGTTGGCGGGGACGAGAGATAGGGCCTTCTCGGTGGTGGCTCCTCGGCTGTGGAACGCCCTTCCTGTAGATGTTAGGCTGGCACCATCTCTCATGACATTCCGTAGAAAGTTGAAGACCTGGATGTTTGTGCAGGCATTTGAGTAATTCAGTGCAATTCTGGTAATTTGAACATAGGAACGGAACAATGGACGTCGAATTTGGATCACGCTTGGATGATGAGGCGATCGGGGGGGT